AGAAACAAATTATCCGTTTTTTTTATTTAGGATAATAAAATACGATAATCTACGAAAGTGGAATTTTCGGAAAAAGTTTTTCGTCTTCTGGTTAAAAAGAATATTTAAAAATTACCAAAATATTTTTCATACGGAAATTTAAAATTACTAAAATTTTAAGTAATTAATTTTTAAAAATTACTAAACTAATGTTAGTAATTAATTTTAAATAATCAATTATTACACTGAAAATTATTATTAAATCAATTTCCAGTACAAATTAATTTTTAAAAAAATTACTAAACTATATTTGGTAATAAAAAAAATTTCTAAACTATATTTGGTAATAAATTTTTGATAATATTATTAAAGTTGATGATAAAAAATACGAAGTACAAAAAAAGTTTTTCAAAAACAAAAAAAAGTTCAAAACACTTTAAAACACAAAATTGAGAATAAAAATAACAATTCAAAACTTAGATACCATTTGGAAGATTAAATTTTTGAAAAAAGAAACAATTCCCATAAAAGCAGCAGCTTCTAAAGTTATATGAGAGAAAGAGAAAAAAAGAAGGAATGAAGGAGAAGTGGTGAAATTTTGTTTTTGTAAAATCCCCCTTTGAATCAAATTGGAAACTTCTTTCTAGAGAGCAAGAGTCATAATAAAGTTATGAAAATATCCCCGCGCAAACATAAACGCAACATGATTATACAAATGACAAGCACTCGGGCTAAACTTTTCCCTTACCGTGCGTAAAACTAGTTAAAATCACACTTTCCGTTCTTCTCCCCCTCCCCCCGCACCGTTTTCTCAATTCCCTATTTGTTGTCGAGACGGATACAAAAATTAAACAAAATACATTGTTTAGACTATAAAGTGCGATCGTCAACTTTATTTGTGTCATTAAAAAACAAAAATAAATTTTCCCCCGTGTTTTTTTGTTATAAATGGAAAAAAAAGGAAAATTTTTTTTTCAGGAAATCATTTGGCACCCCGAGGCTGTGATTGTAACTCATCTATTGTCTTTAGGATTTTTAGAAAAAAAATAGTTTCTTTTTTATTATTATTATTATTTAATACTTCCGTTTTTCAGTCCCATTCGTAAATAAAATATCGTAATGTATATTATACATTATATATTATATAATAATATAATTTAATATTCTTAATAAAATTAATAAATTAATTTTAAATTAATAAATTGAATTATTAAAATATAATTAATTAAAATTATTAATATTAATAATATAATTATCAATATAATATTAATATAATGTATAAAATATAATATACAGTATATAATGTACGATATTCTGTATATTTCATATTATGTATAATATATTATTATACATTACGTAATACAGACAATTTAATAAAATTGTCGACATAATAATTAATATTTTACTAATAATAATTAAGCGACGAGGAGAAATACGTGAACCTGGAAACGTCGTCACGAGTCATTTTGAAAATCGATACTTTGAAATTTTCGTTTATAATAATTATCATCAAATTTTAATTAGAAAAGTAATCAATCTAACGCAGTGGTATAAAATCTACTATTATAATATATATTCTTGTTTTTCAATTACAATGTCCCGTGAAATTTTTATTTCCTCTATTTTTCTTCCTTAAGAAGAAAGATTATTTTCTTAAAAGAAAGTTTTTTCTTTTTTTTTTTGCAAAAAATTATTCCCACGATTTTTTTTCTCTCTCTATCTCTCTTTTTTTAAATACGCAAATATTACACGCTTTATTATATTATAAATTGCTAAATGCTAATTTTGGATGATTAACACTTTGATGCCCATTAAAAAAAAAAAAAAAAATTTCATTTATAAATATATTTAATAAACACGTAGTAAAACTACAAACATTTATATAACAATGCAAATATAAAACGACAGTAAATCTTTTTTTTACTTTTCTTTTTCTCATATTAAAATTTAAAAATGAATATTGCATATGAAGTCTTTTAAAAAGGGAAAATAGAAATTAATATTAAATTAACAATTTTCAAATTTGTCTAAAAAATTTTCTCCTCTTTTTGTTTAGTGCAGACAAAAAAAGTCATTTGCGCATATTTGGCTCTTGAAATAATTTTTTTATTAGGAGAATTTTTTTTTGGTGATTTGTAATTAATTGGCAGTGATTGAGCGTCGATGTTGCCAAAGTGATTATTGCCCATTTTTCTTTTTGAGTGTGGGAGAAATTAAGCCTCTTAAAGTGCGCCCTGATTTTTTTTTTTTTTTTTGACGAAGAGAATTTTAATTATTCATTATTTACATCATTCTTCTGTTGATTAATTCAGAAAATGTTAATTTTACTCCTTTCGAAAGCAAAATAGAACAATTTCTTTTTAATTACAGGAGACTTTTTTTCGTTCAGGTATTTTTCCCCTTTTCCTTTTTTTCTAATCAAAAATTTTTCTGCCTTTGAAAAAAAATTCATTTTAAAATATTTATATTTAAATAAATTTTTTCGAAATATTGATAAATTTTTTCTCTTTGATTGAAATTTTATTATGTAACTTATTTACCCAAATTTCTTCTAATTGGAATTGAGTTTTGCATGTATATATGTATATATATTTATATGCAATATTCAAAACAAACCAGAGAGGAAATCTGGTATTAAAATTATTCCAATTTCTGTAACCTGAACTATAAAGGTCTTCTATAATTAAGATATTAATTAAACATACGAAGTTGATTGACGCAATTTAATCCCAAAAAATGATCTCTGGGAATTTTCGTGTAATTTTATATAAAAACACGTCACTTATGGCACTTGCCTACAGAAAGAAAGCGATTTTAAAATTTATGGCAAAAATTGTTTTTTTTTTCATTTGTTCAAAAGATCCTTTTCTTTGGGAGAAATTTGTAAATTTTGATACGAAAGTGTTTTTTTCCTGAATTCAAATTTGAAATTTTTGTAACTTTTTTTCCACATTCTCGAAATTTAAAATTTATTAATTCTCGAGTTATTCTCGACAAGGAAAAAATTGAAATAAAAATTGAATAATATACCGTGTAGACTCTCGATAATTTGAGATGACATTTAACGAGGTTCGACTGTAATTTTTGATTAATTTTCTTTTATTCGTTTTTCAGTTTCTTTTTTTCCAATATTTTTTTTTCCTATCAAATATTGCGATATGTTGACAATTTATTTTGCATTTTATTACAACAATTTAATTAATAATATAATTAATTTTATTATTTTTATTTTTACAATGAACTGTAAACTATTTAAATGAAAAACTGTAATAAAGGAAAATTAACAGATATTTTTGTGTTATTTTGTGAAATAATTTGTAAATTTTCCTTTTTCGGAAATTAAGGTTTTTAAGCGTACAGTAAAACCTCGATAGTTTTTGGAAAAGAAAAAATTGTTAACTATGTAAGAGTAATTTATCGAGTTTTTACTGTTTTTCTCGAATTTCAAGTTTTCAATTTTTTCCAAACTTTTCAGACTAATTATCGACATTTTAGAATAAATAGTATCAATAATTGATAATTTTAAAGTTATCGAGGTTTTAGTGTATCGAGTTACACTGAAACCTCGCTATTTTGGAATGGTAACCAATTATGGAAATTTTAGTGTAACTTTATTCTTTATTTATTTAATATATATATTTTTTCACTTTCTTAATAGTTTTTTTTTATATTTTAGTAATAATTTTTTTTACTTAAGTGGAAATTATATTATATTTTTTATAAAGTAACAATTTTTTTCACTTTAGTAAACATTTTTACCAATTCATTTTAATTCACTAAAAAATGTATTATTTTTTTTACTTTAGTAAAAGAATTTTTAATTACTTTTACTTCAGTAAACAATTTTCTTTTATTTTAGTAAATTTTGCTAATTGATTTCTGTTTAACAAAAAATTGGTTTTCTTTTACTTCAGTAAAAATTTTTCTAATTCCTTATATAATTCTGTAAAAAAATTTATTTTGACTTTAGTTACAATTTTTCTAATTTGTTTCAATTTAATAAAAATTGTTTTTTAATTTCTTTTACGTTAATAAACAAATTTTCTAATTCGTCTTCTTCAGTAAAAAATGTTTTTATTTCTTTAACTTTAAGTTAAAATTACTTTTTATCTTTTATACTTTATAACTTTATAACTTTATAACTTTATAACTTTATAAATTTATAATTTATAATTTATAAATTTTATACTTTTAAATTAAAAATTGTTAATATTTTTTTTTACTAAAGTAAGAATTTTTTTCCAATTTGTTTTCATTGTCTTTATTTTTTTACTCTAGTAAAAATGGTTTTTTTTCTATTTTTTACTGCAGTAAAAATTTCTTTTAGTAAAAATTAAAAATTGTTTTCATTTTTTAATTTTTACTATTCTGTCAATTTTTTTTATTTACCACTTTTTATTAACACTTTTACATTGTCAATAAAGTTGTTAATAGTGTTACTCGCATAAAGAGAAAAATATCTCCAAAAGCAACGAATTTCATTTTTCTTAAATAAAAAATTACTTTAAAAAAAATATAAAATTTTTACTGCAATAGTAAAAATTCTTTTTAAGAGATAGAATTTCCTCTTGTGTATTTTTCTTATTTGTAGAAAATAAAAAAAAAATTTTAAATGTATTTTTTCCTGAAATACATTAAAAAAAATAAAAAAAAAAAACAACGCAACTTATCAAAATTGAAAATATTTCGCAAAAATAAGGATCTTTTGAAGATGAAGAAAAAAGCGCAACGACGAAAAATGACACTTGGTTTTTTTTTTTATCGAATTAAAACTAATATAGTGCGGAACACGATGACCGACTAACGACGCTTCATACGTCTTGAGAATAATAATGGCGGTTATGGTATTATTATATCGGTAAGAAGAGAACAGCGATGACAAGGACGAGGAAGATCGATACAACGTTGGACAGTACAGCGTGCATTGCTCATTATACACACTATCACATTTTGGAGGTTTATAGCTCCGGGTCCTGGCGAGAGGCAGTTATTTTCCGTGAAAATGGATTAGGCGATCAAGCGTAACTTTAATCACTAAACGGAAATATGTGTCTGTGTGTCTATGACGACGATGACGATGGTGATGATGATGATGATGATCATGATGATGATGATGATGATAATGATTATACGCATAGTCTCCAGTTTTAGTTGAATTCATCGATATTTTGATCTCGACAAGAAAAAAAAAAGAGAAAAGAGAATTATTTTTCGTTCTTTTTTTTTAAATTGATTTTTTTAAATTTCGTTTTCTTTTTTTTTTTTTTTTTTTGTTTTTAAAGTTGAGATCATATCGATGGGATATCCATTCTCGCAGAATTCGGAGAGGCTTTTTTTTTATTTCTCTTTATAAATTTTTTGGGGCGGGGAAAAATGTACGAGATTAAACGTGTCTTTTCATGTGTAGCGCTAAGTGATCGCTACGTGAAAAGCAACGATCGCAGTGTCTACATTTGAAGGGTTTTGCGCCTGTGTGCTTGCGATAATGGCGCGTCAATTCATCGGAACGTGCGAATCGCCACTCGCAACCTTCCCAGCTGCATTTGTATGGCTTCTCTCCTGTAACAGAAAATTGATACAATTTTTTTTTTTAGTCTTTTCATCGAAACTTGTTATGGAAATGAAAAATTTGGTTATTTTAAATACAAAAATACGAAAAATTTTAAATACAAAAAATTATTGTTTAGATTTTTAATTTTATCATATTTGTTTTGCGAGCTAATTAATATCTTTAAATATATTTTAAATATATTTTTTTTAAATCAAAATAATAATAATAATAAATTAAATAAATAAATTATTAAAAAATCTATATATAATTAATTAAGGGAAATAATTTGTCGAAATTTAATTCTATGGCTCTACAGCTAATTAATATCTCTTGATGAATATATTTTATTTTCAATTTGAATGAACTGACAAGTAATAATTATTAAATAGTAGAAATTATAAATTTTTTTTTCTTTCCTTTTTTGTGTCATTTTGGGAAAAGAGTGAAGAGTAAAATTTTTTTGAAATTTCGAGACTACTCTATTGTATAAAGTAGAGGAGGGATTAGATTATTAAGGAAGAAGGAAAGTTTGAGTAGAATGTGAGAGGGGGGGGGAGAGAAGGGGGATATCTTCACATGTCGACATTAAGGCAATCTAGAGAGCACATTTCTTGGATGTGCGGCGTTGGCGTATTATTAAGCCGTAAATAACCCATTCGAGCAATATGGAAGGCGAGTCGACGTTGATGAGGCCACGCGGTGGAGGAGAGGAGACAATGCAGGGTCACCACCTGTGGCGCGATGTTACTGAGCTTAACAAGCTGAGAGGGAGAGAGACAGAAACAGAGACAACGACAGAGAGTCTCTCTCTCTCTCTCTCTCTTTCGTGAGAGAGTGACTATGAGAAAGAGGAAGAGAGAGAGAGTGAAAGCTCTTGTCACTCTCTAGTGAGAGAGAGAAAGAGAGAAATAGAGTATGAGAGAGAGGGAGAGTGTAAGAGAGAGAGAGAGAGAGAGAGAGAGAGAGTGAGTTTGCAGTTGTGTAGCAAGGCATGGGTGATTCACCAGTGATAGAGGTCGTATCGCCCACCGACCTCGCAATAACAAATGTGGTCAGTTTCTCCATTCTCTCTCTCTATATATATATAACTATATTGTACACACAACGAACCCTCTTTTCGTCAATCCCTCCCTCCCTCCCTCTCTTTATACTCATTCCCCAAGATTTCCAGGAACCTTTCGTGCACCCTTCACTCTTTACTTTCTCTCGGTTTTTTTCCTCCATTTCATAGAAAATTTAACTATAAAAAAACAACCCCCCAATTAAGTTTCTTTTCTCCTATTCCACGAATTCATGAAAATTACTACTTGTTATTGAATTATAATTACAATCATGTGATTCTCATTTATCGTATGTGTGTGTGTTTTTTTTTTCAATGAAAAACAGATGGGGAATAATTCTATATGTTGCGGTTCGTTTTTTTTTATGAAATTAATTTCTACTTTTTATTTTTGATTTTTATAATTTTAGGTTTGGTGGCAAAAGAAACGGTGAAAAAGAGCTGACATGATTTTCTGTTAAAGGTGTTACAATTTATTTTTATCATTTACAATTCTGTTATTATTTGTTACAATTTATTATTATTTTCTTACTACAATTTCTAATTAATAATTGTTAATAATAATAATAATTAATAATAGACAATGTTATTAAAATTTGTTATTAATGATTACATTTTATTGTAGGATTAAATTATCAGAATTAATAATATGTTAATAACAATTATTTCTACTTAAAAATGATTTTTTGTAAAACTTAATTTTCAAGTAGAAACAGTCAGCTTTAGTCAGACATTAGTTTAGAATTAAAAACATAAAACTAACTGACGTTAATTTCGTGACGGAATTTTCGCCTTACTTAAAGAAAATTTTCTACTTAACAAAATCATTTTTTCAACTACATTACCAATTTCACGTTAACAGTGTATTATGTCTGACTAAAACTGTCTTTTCTACTTAAAAATGAATTTATGCTTATAAGTAAATTTTTTTCTTATTTTTACAGACGATTATCTCTGTATAAAACTGCCCTTTCAACTTAAATATTAATTTAAGTATAAGTAGAATATTTTTTAAGATTAACAGTGTGTAATGTCTGACTAAAACAGTCTATTTCTACTTAAGAATTAATTTATCTCGAAGTAAAATGTTTCTTAAATTTTCAGTTTTACTGAAACTATATTTTCCACTTAAAAAAAATGATTTTTTTGTATCTAAATTACCTCTGCTTTCTCTACCAGTGTACATTTGTCAAACTACAACTGAATTTTTTACTTAAAAAGTGATTTTTATTTAACTAAAATCTATTTTCTACTTTCAATGTGTATTCTACCTGATCAAATTTGTGTTTTTTATTTAAAAATCATTTTTCGATTAACAGAAAAAACCCGTACAACTTTTACATTGTAGTTTGTCTGACTAAAACTATATTTTCTAATTAAAATAACTAATTTTTCGGTTACTAAAATATTTTTTCTTAATCTAAAATAACGTTTTCTACTAAAATAGTAATAATTTTTGTCTGTGTAAAATACTATAAATCTTAAAAAAAAATTTTTGTATCTTTTCTAAATTACTTCCTAAACTTTTAAGAAACGGATCCTGTTTGACTAAAACTCCTTTTTTCGTTTAAGACTTTTTCCCTAAGTAAATTATTCTTTCTAGTTTAAAATTCTGTCTGACTGAAAAATACTGGTTTCACTTAAATTTTTCCCAGGAAGTACTTTTCCTACTTCAGAGAATTTATTCTGCCTACAATAATTTTTTTCAACATGAAACACATAAATTTTTCTACTAAAAAAAAAGCAAACATTAAAATAAATAAATAAATAAATTTTGTTCATTTCTTTATTTCTTTATATTTTTATTATACTTATTTTATATTTATTGTAAATTTATTATCGCAAATATGAAATGTTGAAAAAAAATTATCTTTGACTCAATTTTGAAGTGGAAAATGTTTTGATAGTGAGACAGTTAGAGTTTCAAATCAGAAACGTGTTTAATTAGATAAAAGTAACTATTTATGTAGAAATTTCACTCTTTTGAATTGCACATTATAAAAATACGAATTTTAAGTAGAAAAATCGAATATTTAGTCAGACAATACACATTTTAAATAGAAAAATTTTAATTTCTTTTTGTTAAAAAAAACTAAATTTAACCGTGACCATTTTTTTTTCTTATAATGTTTATTGTCTGACTAAAAGTGTATTTTCTACTTAAAACTGGCTTTATTTTAGAAAAAAACAGAATTTTCTCTAATTATAATGTGTAATGTCTGACTAAAGTTGATTTTTCTACTTAAAATTAGTATTTGCTTATAAAAACGAATTCTTTCTACTTACAAAATATTTATTGTTTGACTTAATAAACAGTTTTTTCTACTTATAGATATTAGTATCTCAAAAAAAGTAGAATTCTTCCAACTTAAAATCTGAAATGTCTGACTAAAGCTGATTTTTCTACTTGCAATTTATATATTCTTACGAAAACATTGAATTCCTTCGACTTAAAATTAATGTCATTGAACTATTAAATAATGTAAAAAGTAAACCAAAATTTAAAGTAAAATACTTCCTCTATGAGAAAGCAAAAATGTATTAAATTCTAAATAAATTGTTCCCCACTCATCTAAAATAAAAGAATGCCAACATCAGCATGTTTAGTAATTTTTTCAAAGCGAGGATCTCTCGACACAAAAAACATTTGTCGAATTGAACAGCGCAGCGTGTAAAAATAGGTGTCTCGCATAGAAAATCGACTATTCTCGTGTGACTCGTTTTACACTAAAAAAAAAGAAGAAAAACGAGTGTGTGACGATAAATTTCACCGGTCGAAATAGAAAAAAAAATCGTCTTCACGCCAACCTGGCCTATTAAGAAACGATGTTTAGGTGAAGGGTTTTCAAAGACGATGCCTTCCCCCTCTCTCTCTCTCTTACTATCTGTCTTTTTCTCTTTTCATTCTCTTTGGTACCAAAAGAGAGGCAGTGAGAAGGAGAGGACTCGTGACGACAGAAGAAAATTTATGCAGCACTTTGTTTTCAGGCCGAAGTTGTTTCACGCGAGAGAGTCGAAACGACTAAACAAAACAAGGGCAAAACCTGTTTCTTTTTTCTTTTCTCTCTCTTTTCTGAGAAAAGGTATTCCTCGCGGTGACGGCGACAAATCCGACCCGGACGTGGCAACGCATATCCAAATCCACCCCGCTCGACATTCCAGGCACGCGACTTTCCGGAAAATACGGTCCACGTTCCTTCTTCCATTGCAGCATCCCTTTTCCTTCCTCTATCACTCACTCACTCACTCTCTCTCTCTCTCTTTCTTACTTATCTGTCTTTCTTTCTCCCTTATCATCCCTCTCTCTCTATCTCTCGTTTTTTCTCTCTTTCATTCTTTTTTCCCTCTTTCTCTTTCTTTCTCTCTCTCACTCTTTGCTCGCACGATTTCCAAAGTATGAAAGAGAAATGGCGCCATGTCTTCCTCACTGAGGTAGGTATTACAGAACCGCGACACGGGAGGTGGGAGAAGAAAACTCGCGACAGTGACGAACATCCAAAAGGGCGAAGGCTGACATAGACGGAAGAAAATTTATTTAGCTCTCGAAATGTGAGATCTTGAGGTGTAGATGAAACGAAGAATGATGTCGAGTTGTACTTGGTTCGAAATTAGAAACGCCACATGTCGCGAGTGGAAAAAAAATTTATTTTTCGCATTTTCTTGTAAGCGCAGTGTCAAGTATTTGGCGAATTTTTCAAAAATTGCGAAAATAAAGTTGGATTAATTTTCACTTGAATAATTTTAATTTTCACTTAAGTAATATTAAATTTTCACTTGAATAATTTTAATTTTCACTTATGTAATATTAAATTTTTACTTCAATAATTTTAATTTTAATTTTACTATACTGAAAAATTATTATAATGATTTATGTAAATACCAATTTACATATCTGGTAAATGTGATTTCAAACTAATTTTTGTCTGACCAAAACAATATTTTCTACTT